ATTATATATAACAGGTTTTGCCCTTACCCAACGTATATTATTAATAAGCACTAAGCTATTAGTAAGCTATTAATAAGCATAGTCATCTAGGTACGGATATAACTGCTGCATAAATGAAAAAGTTCAAAGGTCGGTGCTGTCAGAGGACATGTCAGAAAAGAGAAGTTTGAAAGGAAACAATGGTTCGGACCCATGAGATTTTTTTCTCAATTGTTTTCCATGTACAAATGTTACTTATTAGTCATTCACAAATGGCAAACAGTTTTACCAAAAATGTAACGTTCGCCTGAATTTTATAAAATGAAAGCACTCTCCAGTGCCCCAAACAGATTATGACTTTATATCCTTGATTTAATTTCTGTTGTTGCAAAGTATGTTTTTTGCTTTTTTGTGTGTGTGGTGCAGTTCCCACAGATGACACGTCCCCTAAAATAAATTCTTTTGTTTCAACGAATCTCTGGGCTCATGAACGGCAGGTGGATTAATACCTGTAACCATATTGTAAAAGCTCACAGAGTTTATGCCCTCTAAAATAGCTATGAAATCGAATGGTGCACTGAATAGAGAAATACTCATCTGCCTTTTCCAGGCACGAACTACATAAATACTGTCGGTTAGAACCGCTTTTCTATGATGGTTGGTTAGTAGGCCCACTGCCAGTATAATTCCAAATGGCGCCTACCTCTCTCTAGCTTTTGATCATTAAAGTATAGGCTTTGTGTCAAATGTAACGCACCATCGCTACAGTTCAGGTCAGAAATGCTTGACGAGGAATGACACGCGTTTGTATTCGTTCGGGCCTGCTGTACCGCCACACTACCGTTTAAGCTAGTGTCAGCCGTAGCAATTCATATCTACAATTGTACAAACTGACGACGCATAGAAACGTCTTAACCTGTTCATTTAAAACCTATTTATGTTACAGTATCGTGAGTTACCTTGGACCGTGTGTTGACTTCCAATGTTAGAGCCCCACATAACAAAAACCAACATCGGTCAACTCCATAACGATGAAACCTTGTGCTGCGGCAGGAGATACGATCCAGACTTAATGACAAATTGATGGGTTAACTCCCGAGAGCAGCCAAATGGAAAAGATGAAAAAGCAAATGATTTATTGTACCAGGAGACCGTCACAGAATTGCAAATAGAATCTCGCGGTTATAATGAGTTTTTACCCTATTCCAATGCTCGTTTGCCTTAATTGCAATTTTCTCGTTGCCCGCATTTGACCAGAATATAGCGCTAACTGTTCATTAAAATGGTTCCTTTTTCTGTCAAAGCTAAGATGCAGACTCTTTATACATGAAGGGAAAAAGATTTCAGTTGTAGAAATCAAATTTATTCAACAAATACCAACAAAGTGGGCACTTGTCTGATAACATATCTCAGAGCTACGACGATTTCTCAGTGCCAAGAATTTATTGGTTCCGATAAATTATTTAACTGCAAATCTCTGTTAACGAGCCCAAGGAATACATTTAGTCACAAGTCCAGATGGGTTAATTTCACGGAGTCGACGACCAGACAAAGGGACAAAACGTATTCAGTCTTAGATGGGACGATGTGGTACGTGCCCAAAACGTCCGGGAAAGGCTATTCCCTTGCTTTTGTTCCTGAGACTGGCGGAAAAACTTCTGCCCCGGTGTTCTTCATCCATCAAGGAACTGATCAAAATGCCAATCAGAGAGGACTACCAGTAGTCCAGGGGAAGAACTCGGTGTCTCAATTCGAAAGCATACCTTCAAGAGCCAATCAGGGGAAGCGGTAAATGTAATCCCTTCCCCGGGGAAAGCAGGGGAAGCTTGCCATCCGGGCATCAATTACCGGTACCCTTCTTTAAATTAACTTTGTTTAAGAAATGATGGCAACAACATTTCAGAACGATGTTGGCGTCTTCCTGGGGGTGGGAGTGTTCGTTAACGGATGAAAAAAATCTGTGCAATTATTGAAAAAGTCCCTATTTTTCCCCCTCTCCCTGTAGACTACAATCCTGGATACGACTTACTTCCAATTGTCCTCAACAAAACGACATCCGACCACTTTAAGAAGCAATAAACAAGACTATTGCCTGTTTCTGCAGGCAGGCAATGAATTGATATTTTTAGTGCCAGAAGGACCAGAACATTATTACACTGGGAAACCACGTGACACACACACCGCTTATGTGTTCAGAAAAACCCAAAGATGTCCCGTTACATCTAGATATGAAATCAGCAGTCGCATACGCTATTTGTGCCGTTTATATCTTTTTTAAAGAAAATGGCTCAATTTTCTCAAAATTAGCCTTTTCTTCAAAAGCGGTTCTGGGCAAACTTTAAGCAGTCTACGATGAACCCATTTTTTCAAGTTGTAACTGACAACAAATGATCTTATAGTGGTAAGTTTCTGTTTGCTCTTCAAGACTTTTTTGGCATCGATACTTCTTCATAAGTTATCGAATTAAAAACATTTTCATACATCACTGAAAATTGCGTGTACCGGATTAATCTCCGCAAGGCTAGCTTACTGACAGATGCAGGATAACTCCGGACTATATTCTGTACATAGCTATACCCTTGGCCTCGTCAGTTAACAATCTCATACAGCTCTTCCGAGATTGTCATTTCAATATGCTTACTGTGGCAAACTGCATCAGCGACCCGAAGTGAACGAAACCTGATGTTCGCCTCCCGTGAATCTTCCTTTCCCAAGTTCCACGCTGTGTCATAACCAAGAACTGGTTCGGCTGTTTCTCTTGGTTAATTGTTTTTGAGGATCCGAGCACGAAGCCATTACATGGAGTTCTTATATACTCAAGTTAAAATTTACCAAAGAATATCTCTCTCATAAATGACGTGTACACTCAAGTTATTGATTTTGACCACCAAAACGCACCCCTAATATAGTGTATTCACCTATTTTCCTTGATCACAATGTAGGCCTATGGACCGTTAAAAGCACAACCAATACGGTTACCAGGGAAGAAATCCTGCAAACCGGATAGCCTGTACTCTGCTGTTTCTGCTTTAATTCTACAAACGGGTGGTACTCTATAAATTTGTCTATCCCATCTGTAATAAAATAAAACAAGTAAAAATTAGGTTCTATAATATCTGCTGGTTTCCTGTTTATGATAGTGTAGTATGTCTGCCCCTAAAATCGTCTGTGAGTCATGTCTCTATGTTCAACCTGAACAGTCATTGTTAAATTGCTTCCCTAAATTTCCTACATGTAAATCTCGTAAATTTATGCTAGTCTGCAAATTATCTGAGCATCCAAACCAATTTAATATTGTTAATCTGTTTATGAATCTGGGTCAGATATCTACCGATAAACTGTTTAACTCAACACCTTGTTGTATCACTTGGACAAGATGTATGCCTATGTCTGTTTACAAGTGAATCTATGCGCATGTCTGTTTCGGCCTACATGAGAACTTCATGGAAAAACTAAATGACAAAATCTAAACAGTTCTCTTTTATGCAATTACAAATATCAAGAATAGAATCTGTCATTCGCCTCTATAGCAGGACTCTTCCTAACAATTTCTGGCTTAAAACACGGCTTAAACAACCGTCAAAACGTGTTAAGAGACAATCATTACGGAAAACTTTCACAGACGGGGTCAAAATTAAAACAAGGCTGCCAAAGGTTAATGAATTTTCACAGCATGAACACAAGAAAAGGGCACCATTCACTCTGTCCAGTTGGTAAGCTTGTGAGTTTACACTGATCCACTATTTAATAATGATTCAATGGTTTCAGATTAAAATTAACATGTCGGGTTCTGTTATGTGAATGAGACATGTGAGTTTGATCAAAAACTGTTTTCTTGAGGAAGGTTCAGAGAGATGCAACCCCCAAGGTAGAAAGGAGTATACAGAATCACGCTTCCCACGTGCAGATACTGTAATAAGGGGTTCAGAGCAATCACCAATTCGGGCTCCGTTATTCTTAAAAGTCTTACATTTTACGCTTTACCTTTAGTTTTCGCCGTTTTCATACTAGTGTTCTGATCTGGACCCATGACAATTCCCAAGACCTCTTACGGCTTCGTAATTGTTTTAAGCTTGATTAGTTTGCTCATCGAATTTGATTTATTTCCGATAACACATAAGGACCTGGGATGGGTTCGACTGCAACATTGACATCGTTTCATCGGGTGGAGATAAGCATTCTGGAAGAATACGATCCGATGTTTATGAACATCCATATGAGGACTGATACCGGGACCTGAAGGAACTTGCAACAGGTAAATTTTACAAGCACTTTCACATTTGTTTATGTGAAATGTATGAAGTGTGGACATTCCTTTTGTTCTCCTGTGGTTAAGGTAAATGCTCCTTTTCCTCCAACTAGTAGGATAGCTCCTTCGAGCTGGATTTTTGATGTTGATTTCCTGGCCTGTTCCTCTTCATTTTGCCACTGAAAACCTTGACCCCAAAATGCCTCTGAAACTGTTTTCAAAGAGGGGAAAACATTGTGTAGACTTGTACAAGTCCGCACCACGCCACTGGCGTACCCTGCATTATGTGGACTTCTTTTGTGCAGAGGTCCACACTATGTATGACACGCCTGTACATGCGTTTGAAATCCATGAATAATGTGCACCTGCACAGTTTATATTGGAAGCCATAATACGGGGCGCGCACGCTCATAATCCTCCAACTATCTACTGCCCGTGCTCAGCATGCAAATTGCCCGTGGTGCATGGTCTAAAGGCGCCGACGGCCTGCACATATGGTTCTGCACGATGCCATGCCCTTTCAGTGTCGGTGATCGGTGTTTTTTGTTTTGTTTTGTGAGTTTGTGCGGGGGTGGGTGTGAGGGGGTGTGTGTGTTCTTGTTTTTCGCGAAACGCATGCGCATTCTGATCAAAAACAGTTAAACCATGGAGGAAGGAGGGGTTAAACCAACAACTGGCAATTCTCCGTCTGTGCTTTCTGTTAATCTGAAGTGAACTTTCTTCCTTCACGTTTGTGTTCACAAGGGCCACGTCTGTCGATTGTAATTTGTAGGCTACGCGGTCACATATACAAGTACAGTGCAAGCTTGGTTGGCTTATGTCCTGACGCTGATGCCTGATGCAGCTCTGACCGATACAATTTCGCAGGTTTCCTCAGTTTTTGAAAAAGAAAGCTATATTTAAGTGTGGCATGACGCTTCCAGTTGGGAGATAGTCGGTAGAGACTCAGACATTAATCCCCTGCACTGTGAAAGACTGCCGTTGTAAAAGCCCCTGTTATGGCAGTACGTAGCGCCACCCTCAGTAATAATCTCTGTCACAGCAGTGACAAACAAGCCACTTGCATGTTGCGATCCACCACAGAATGCACGGGTGAGATGCTTGGAGGTGTCCGAAGAGTTTAGTACAGTAAGGCTGGTGTAGAAGCATTCAGTGCTACAGACGGAAGCAATGTCCCCGTCAGACTACGAGGAATACTGCCAGCTCAACCGGCAAGACATCTAACCAGATGGTGGAGATAAATCATTGTGTACCCAGGCTGCACCTTAACACATCAGCATAAGATCGGTATAATGGAAAAGCACAAATCTTGGGTAGATAAGCCATCAAGAGGAAAGCACACGGCTGTGTAACTGCAAGGACAGGATTGAATATGATTCCTCGTCGGCAGAGTGGTACATCGATCCTTTAACATCACGTTAAACTTTACGCGCCACCAGCTTTGACAATGCAGGAACCACCAAGTATCTTCTGAAGGTTTGGAGAGCTCCTGAGCTAGTCCCCGACGGCATCATCGCCATGGTTTTCTGGACTGTCGATTGGGGCATGATGGTATGCCTTATGCTGACCGTAACTTCGGCCAGAACACCGGGGGTAGGAGTAACCGAGTGCAACGGTAAGTTTTAATGTGCTCTTGATTGAAATTTGCCATCATGTCCACCCCTGAAGTCCATAGACAGGAATAGAAACGCAAAGCTATTTTCACAAAAACTCGAGGATAATAAAATGTGTTAAATGATGTGAAGAAATGTATACTTACGTCTACAGACTCAATACCAATTGAAAACTCTCTGTTATTTTATTTTATTTTAACCCGTTATTGAATTCATTGTTTGTGAAAACCTCGGCTTAGGAACACTACGGTTAAATTCATTGTCCATGCGTTTGTAATGATATTAAATTTCAAGTGTTTTAAACATCAAACTGCCCCCAAATCCAACCGGATGCTTTCCCAACTTTAATTCCGTGATAACAAACGTCTCCGAGATGATTTTTACCTGTTTGTGCTGATCCCAGGCTTTGAAATAACGTTTCTCACGCAAGAAATGCAAAATCTGTTGATGTATTCAAACCTTCGTTAAAAAACATCTCTTTTCATCTTTCCTATAACACTGAACACTGAGTCTCAGCCGTTGGTAAGGGCTTTCGTGATACGTGGCTGAGTATAATTAAGGAGCCTATACGTAGAATAACTGAACAATACAAATATTGTTATTATATTACTATAATAATTCCAAGCCGTGTGAGGGCAAACGAGTCAGAATACCATATCCAAAAACGTGCACATGCCTCCCAAGGCTTCAGTGCTATCAACATAATGTGGCTTCGGAAATAAGAACAAATTAAACAATCAACAACCCGAAAACTGGTATTTAAGAATTGGAAGCGCCAACACTATAGTAACGACATCACCAGTTTCCTATGGGTGGAGGCGGGGATTCCTTCACCGATGAAAGAAAGACTTGCTGGAAAAATTATCCGTCCCCCACCCCAAACCTGGATACGCCATGGAACGATTCCAGCGAGCATTTTAACTTCTGTTGCTCAGGCCCCTGCCTACAGACCTGAAAAAACACAGTAATTGCATGTAATAACCGGAAATCATATCTGCCAATGTACTTTCTGTTTGGATGATTTTTACTCCGTGGGGAATATTCTTACCTTCGCGCGTAGTGGCCGGTGTTCCTTCTCGAGTACGATTTTCCTAAACTCTTGATTCATTATCATTAGTCCAAAAGTATTTGTTTTTGTTTAAAGCAAACGTTCAGTGTTTCGTGCGGTAAACATGGGAGCCAAGGGGAATGTTCGGTATACCAGAGTGTTCGGTATAGCAGTGCTTGGTGTGGCGGCTTTTATCATTCTTGTTACGGACTCAGTTCCCCGTGTTACCGGTATTAGGCCTATTTATCCAGCTCGAAAGGGGAGCGGCAAAACGTTTTCTTAGATACACTTTCTATTTAAATGTACACTCCTCTTCAACGTATGGACACTACCGCGGGGCTGTTGCTGTGACATCATAAAGGGAAGACAAGGTTCACTACAGTGAGGCTTTCCTGTTGTAGAATCTGAATCTGCGNGTTAATAAGCACTGTATGCTCAGTGCTGTCCGAGAGCTTGCGAAAAAAAACCTCACAAGCTTACTCGGGTGGGACTCGAACCCACGAAATAGTTTGCGGTACCCGCTGCTTCATTTGACTCGGACCGGCCAGCCGACCCCGGCAAGCTCGGTGGTCGAGTGGTTAAGACATCTGCACTAGTAAGCAGGAGGTCGGGGGTTCGAGTCCCACCCGAGTAAGCTTGTGAGGTTTTTTTCGCAAGCTCTCGGACAGCACTAAGCGTACAGTGCTTATTAATATACGTTGGGTACGGGCAAAACCGTTATGTATATAACACACGTTCAGTGTTTCGTGCGGGAAACAAGGGAGCCAAGGGGAATGTTCGGTATACCCGAGTGTTCGGTATAGCAGTGCTTGGTGTGGCGGCTTTTATCATTCTTGTTACGGACTCAGTTCCCCGTGTTACCGGTATTAGGCCTATTTATCTAGCTCGAAAGGGGAGCGGCAAAACGTTTTCTTAGATACACTTTCTATTTAAATGTACACTCCTCTTCAACGCATGGACACTACCGCAGGGCTGTTGCTGTGACATCATAAAGGGAAGACACGGTTCACTACAGTGAGGCTTTCCTGTTGTAGAATCTGAATCTGCTCGCTGAAAGAAAGTTGCTGGCTGGTTTATTCTCCAATCTAGATCTGCCTATGAGCAAGTGATCCGTTGTCTCATGGAAGACTGCGGTGCCAGTTGTACACAATATTCTGTACATTTTGTTATGGTCAGGCCAGTATGTAACCTTCGGTCCAGCTGAGAATTTACCCTAAGGTGTGCACTGTGCAGTACACGAAATGCTCTTTTAAATTTACGTTTCGCATTCTGGCCCTGCTTGTCCGTAGAACGTCAATGTACAGTGTATTTTTGGTTCACGGCTCGACGAGAGTAGGTCTGCGCTCCAGACCTCGCTCATGACGCTGTACTAGTTACGGGTTCAGCCAGAGGCTTCGTTTATCAGCTAAACTACCTCCCCCTGTGTCATGACAATTGAGGTTAGTTTATTTTCTGGCGATTTACCGTAAGTGTGATTTTGCTTGTTCTCCAAACAACTGCCAGTTCAATGACATGGGCCGAGTTGGACTTCTGGCGGACTACTGGCTGTAGTTCACAATTTCAGGGTACACTCTGCATAAATACATAATAAAACAAAATGTCTTCTTTCTGCACCACAATTCTCCACAGTGCCGTTTAGGATCACACTCTAGTGCATAATGTCACCTGCGACGTGTGGCTCCATGCTTCAGTGAATTTGTATTTGCGGGCATAGCCGTTTGTCAGTACGGCATATTGCGGGGTTGTGTTACCGCGATGCGTGCATGCTTCGTTTGCGCTAAGGAAATGAGATACATCTGAACGTTGGTGGCAGCACCCCTTCCCTCAGTTGACACAATGACAAATCACAGGCTGATAAATCTGACCTCATTGCTCTTGACGATTTACTGAATTTACCGTGGTTGCCCACTACCCAGTCATGAACGTCTCAGTGTTGCCACACGCCTCTATACATAGCTCTGGACTGACACGTTTGCGCTATCTGTTTGACAGAGCTTCCGTCATTAAGCTGAGCCAGGCGCGAGTATCATTACTGCTAGGCGCAGTAAAGTCAGATAAGCCCCACCAAGATGACTACAGACCATGACACTCCGTAAGGACGTCCTTTCTGGTTCTCATGTCTTTTTTGGCTTAGAGTAAGTTAGGTAGGTCGAACCGTACAAAAATATATTACATTCGAATTAAAAATAAATAACATGGTGCTCAACATGCATTGTTCTGAACAACCACTTTGGGCGCAAGTTACACAAAATGAAAAAAAGGAACAAAGTTTTCGACCTACATAGCCATTACCGTTTATCAAATAAAGGACATGATCAGCTTACGTTTGCCGTGCTCAGACCCTGCATCGTCCGTTTTCCTGCCTGTCCAGTAATTCTCTTGAATCTTAGATAAGCTCATAGGTTCTGTTTCTTTAAAAATAAATCAGGGGATAATCTTTAGGACTCAACTTAATCTGCAAATATGTTTCAACGGTGATCACCGCCGCTATGATGTACTCATATTAGTCCGTGGGCTTGGTAAAGCTCCAACGAATCTCGACAACTGACAGTCCTTGGTACAAGTCGTGCCCTAAACAGGAAGGAAGATGTTAAACAAAATCAGGGAAGTAGTCTCTCAGTAGGCTTCTAAGTGGTATCTCATTCAACTTACATTCACTTGCATTTAGCATATTTGTTTGAAGGGGACAATCCTTCAACCCGGCCAAACCTGAATGATGTTAACCAAGCTTGACACATTGGGTGTTCATGAATACATATTTTCAGAGGATGTTCAAGGTTGCCATGGAAACTAATTGAGCATAGCAAGAGAGCCAAATAATTGGCCTAATGCACCTTGACTTTTCTCAATTAAGCTTTTCAGAATTGTTGCCAGTCGTGTTTCAACCCATAGCTTTAAATGATGCCCTAGTAACCTCAAAAAGGCGATAAGACAGCGATTTTGAGACTAAAAGGTCTTAAATTCAACTTGAAATTCAAAACGATGATGTCCGGACACGGGACACAAAATTGGGCATCTCTCACCAAAGTGGCTAACCTTTAACGAATACATCTCAGTAATTCTCAACTGAAGTGAATTTGTGATTCTTCCTTGAGGTTGAAAAGATGTAATTTTCCTACCTTGTTCCACTCCCAGGAAGTTAATGTTTTATATTCATGAGTGTGTCTTGAGCAAAGAGCTATGAGTCAGTTCCTGCTTGCTTACTCCCCTTCGTGCTCATCCATTTGCTCGCTTGCTTGCGTGCACTTTACTTTGAAACCGGGGAAGCAACAGGCCCTAGCTGATTCGTGCAATTCACAAACCGTAAGAGCGAACCCCACAGAGTAAATCGTTGTCAGAAATCAATGAATCGTGGTGCGCTCTCAACACCCTCTGGAGGGTTTACTGAGTAAACAGGCTTTTACTCGGAATAAAAACTGCCTTTTGGGTTTGTCCGTTTGTTTTGCACAAATCCCATTGGATGACGTGCTATCCGTTCAAACTTGGAAGATTTGTAGACCATCATCCGAAGATTCTGGCCGAATCCTGGCGTCACAATGGCGTCATCAGGATTCACGCGAGAGGCTGACACGGATGAAATTTTGGGGGCAATAAATCTCCGGGAGATCCATGTGGAATGACAACTTATGGACCTGAACTGGGAAGTGTTATGCGTGAGAACGGGTATTGCCATGGTGGCCTGTTATGCCAAGAACAAAACAAGTGATGACAATTTCATCTCTTTATGTACTGTTCCTCCAAAGACATATAAAAGGAAATTCATTTTAAAAATTGGACAATTTTTGCAACACATTTACAGATATTGACCATAAGCACTTCTTTCGCAACTCAACTCATTGTTTTAAAGTTCGAAATAGCGACGTCATCGGGGCGGAGTTTTTTTTTGCAGGAAGAATTTAGAACTGATTCTTTTTTCTGCTCGAGTAAGCTCCTTCAATCAGTACATATCCAATAAAAACTGTGCTGCATAAACAACGGAAGAAACTATAGATTTTCCGATGGCAACATTAAAAATTAAATGACGTATCTTTTTATCGTGAATTAGCAGATCCACGAGAAGCCCCCCCCCTTAATGATTTAAACCCCACTGTTAGGGCCGGGTCCAAAAGTGGCTTCCACGTTGTGGGAATTCCAAGTCAGCGGATAAAGCTAAATATAATTTCTTCATTTCACAAAGACAAAAAGACGAGAGCCTTTGGGCTTATGATCTGTATACAAGATAGCACAACACATTACGTTGGAAGGCCAACCGTGAATGAAGTGCGGTGGCTTTGAGACAGTCCCGTCATTGTCAGTGAGCTATGTGACAAAAACTTACCCTTAAGAAGCTCAGACTTACCATGGCCAGGAGGCATTCATACATTGTCAATGCGTGAAAAGTTTTTCACTAATTCAAAAGCCTCATTTAGAGAGATAGAACGAAGAATATTGGTCCAAATCCTGTCAACAAACTTGTTATCTAGCGATGGAACGAAATATGCGTGCTCAGTGCATGAACTCCCAGAAAAACCCCTAATTTGCCATTTGTCAAGGAAGTTTCGTTTGCCGAAACCTGAAAGGAGAGAGGTTTACTTCTGGAAGTATTAACTTGACTTACTTCACTTAATCTTCTCCATCCCCTCTTAAACTGTTGATTGAATTTGTAGGGAAAGGAGCACAACACTCTCAAGCGTCAACAGAGGTTCGGACCCTCTCCCAATTTTTAGCTCGAAATCCACTTTGCTCAAGGGGTTTCCCTAGTTTAACGAATCATTCCAATATAATGAAAACAGACAGTGGATGGTTTGAACATGGGAACTCAAAGATGCATCTGCCTTTTTCTTGTGTACTTCTCTATCACGTGAAGTCAAAGATACGCGTATATATTATTCAAAGTCAAAGATACAATGTACATTTTTCTTATTTATTATCATGGAAAGTCAGAGACACGTCTAGATTTTTCTACTACTATATCAACAAAACTTGATAGTGTAAACTCAGATTTGCTCAAGTCTAATCAAGTCTGAAGGCATAGATTCTACAGCCAAGTTTCAAGTAAAAACACTGCAAGTCTATTCAACAATTTATTTCAATAAATTCATCATCCTGCGGTAAATCACCCCTGCAGGTCGATATTTTGCCTGTAAGGTATATCATAACCCTGATGGGATTGCCGTTATCTTAACAAGTCCGATGGCACTTCAAGAGCTCCGTAAGAACTAGTGTCAAAACATCATTTTCAAACCATCCAAACTTCCCCTATATACGCACATGCTCCAGAGATCGCTCGTATTCCCGCTGACATCAGGTGCAGGGCAGGTCTTCTAGCTGTTCCCAAAATCGAAACCCCTTGATCCCGACAACTACAGCAAAACTAATGAGGACAATAATACATGTGTGTTCTATATATGCCCTCAGGGGTTCCAATAGGGTATATAAAAATACACACGATAACTGGAACCTGAAATAAGAAAAAAACCTTATTATACGCCTGTAATTATTAAAACAAAATAACACCAGTCCACAGCAAATGACCAGAAACGGAAGTCTGAGTTTTGTTTTTTGATCCACTTACAGGGAACGTCACCATGGAAACCGGCTACTTGTGCGTTGAGGACGGTCGATGGATCAGGCTTGAGCGGGTGTGTGACGGGCTGCCGGACTGTGGACGCCTAGCAGACGACGAAGCATTCTGCCGTAAGTGGCGTCCCATCCCTTGCCTAGAGCCTTGTCTATTTTTCCTGCATTCCCTCGAAGTGCTCTTCATCTGCAGCTGGTGGGAATCCGCCCGCCTTAACTCATCCGCTATCCCTAAGAAGACTTAATTGAAATTGAGTTTATTGACAGCCAACCTTATTGAACAACCTTAGTTGCAATCAAGTTGGTCCAAGGGTTTCGTAATAAGTATCCTCATTATGGCCACGAGTGAACCTTTGGTTTTTTTTTTACCAAGGTAAGATACTATACGTATTAGCAGTGAGCTCGCACCAATTTTTGATAGGAAGTCGTCTCTGTGAGCTCAACAATACGTGCTCCCTCTCTTTAACATTACCATACAACACCAATCAATTCTAACTTTGAAATTAAGATTAACAAAGAGCCACCCATCATGGAACTTTGATTGGGGTACAAATTACTTACAAAATACACTGTTTGATTAAGAGTGAAAGTTCGCTGCGATAGTAACGTTTGTGCTTTATGGAAATCACCTTTTGTCTGCTTAGTAAGAAATAACGCTCATGTGGTTTCAAAAGATGTCACGGGAGATAACGGTCTATGTGGCACGTAACGTGTTATAATTATATTGCTAGGACGGCGATAGAACGGAATCTAGTACAGGAAATACGTACACCATATAATGCCAACACGGCGCACGTCATTTAGTACAATAAGATATGCAGTGCGCTTGGAGATACTCTTATGGATTTTGGGGTAAAGCCTGGTTTCCATATGGTCGTTTGTAACGCAGACGGTCTACAAGACGTCAAGATGCAGACAGTCGCGGAAGAGACGATGCACGATCGACGTGATTCCAACAAAATGGCGCCCGAAATTCGGAAAATTTGCGAAACAAATGCCTTTTTTAGGTGGCAATGTTGCATCTTTAAGCCTAACTGATACTCCAGTTTGATGTAAATTGTTAATGGTCAACTATTTTGTTGACGATTGCCGCTGCCCATGCTAGTAATTAGGACAAAATGGACAAAATGACTGGTACTAAGTGAGCTAGAGGAACATTGTTGTACACCTGTCATGCAACCGTGCATGTTCGTATAGGCCTACTCTGCGACTCGTTGCAGACGGTCGGCAAAGTTCAATCTGGCTAAAGTTTGCTGAGCGTTCGCGGGCTGATTGGCGTTGTCGGCGATACCTTCGTTTGACATGTTTCCTTATGTCTGCGTTTCAGTTTGCGTCTTGATTGCGTTGCTCTCTGCGTTTCTTGCGTCGAAATAGAAACCAGGCTTTATGAAGCCAAGGCGATATTTCAGACAGGCAAGGTCTCTGGAAATCAAAGCGCCTGACACGCTGATTTAATGTCCCTCGCTAGTGGCCCATTGCGCGTTCTGCGCCATCTCACGTAGTGCCGGTACGTGCTACACGAGTAGTTGGGGGGGGGGGAGGTTCAGTCTGGTACAGTTTGACCTTTGCCCTAGAAATAGGAAAAGGTCACATGAATATGCATAAGCATAATAATTATGATCATATTGATATGAATATTGGAATGAGTTAATATGGTACAAGTTGACTAAAGGATGAATACGAATGAGGAAACCGTCAGAAAGGCTGGTACAAGTTGACCTAAGGATGAATAGGAATATGGAATAGCATAGGGTCAGAAATTTGGGAACACATTGACCGTTTCTATGAAATTATGGCACAACAGGATGAAATATGATGATAAAAATAGACGATGAGTCATAGAAATGTCATGTCATGGAAAAAAACTCGCTGGCCCACCAGGAGGTCCAGAAGTGATTCGAACCAATAGGATCATGTTTTCAAAAATCGATCAGTCAATCTGTCGATGCCCTTAGCGGGTAATCGTTCCTCATTTATCATACATCGAATTTGTCCTGTTCTTAATCATAATCTCGGGAATGATTTGGCTCAGCGCAACTCTGGTATACTCAGGCCTGAACCTCGTGTCATTTTAGTGGGTGAAAAACAGAGTTAAAGGTCCGATTAGACAACAATGACGGATTTCTTCTATTATGTAGCGGGGATTTCGCTCTTTCTATTGCTTGGAGATGGGCGCTAGTTCCGAAGGTCATCCCAGAGTTCTTTTCAAGAGGTTAATAAAATACAGTGATCACTATGCAGTGTTGAAAAAATTAATAAAGCATATTTGTTGCCGTGTGTGGGTATATGCTGTGGTATTTTTAGAATTTCAGCGACGACCCTGCGAGTTTTATGCAAAGATAGCCCTTGTGAGTTTTTATGTTTATTTCGTGAACAGCTTTCCTTAGATTTTGGGTGGTGATACTTGGGGAGCCTACACAAAGGACCTGCAAAGACAAGTCTATTTGCGCTGTCCGGCAAGCTATGCGCGGTCTATACTGTGGATGGAATCGTTCCATACTGCGGTTCTAAGATAGCTTGCTACAAGTTGCTAATTTGCCTCGAGGCAGCAGGCAAGGCCGCAACATCAGGTGAATCTGGGAAACAAGCTTCCCCTGCTCTATGCAGTGAAAGTGGTGGAGGCAAACATGTAGGTTTGGGTGCGTGTGTACTGTTAAACTCCCGGTCGATGCATGGATGGAGAAGGTGGCACTTTTGAAGCGCCATTGCTAATTTTTATCTAAAAGGCCCTCAGTAAAGCTGGACTTGGCACACCCGCGTCCTTCCTCTACTTTTCAGGAGCAACTGGTATCAATCATGACTAGAAGGCTAGTCTGACAGAGGAAAAGGCTCACCAGAACGGTTCGATGTGAACACGTACCGTGCACGCCGTGCCCGCAAGGCGGGTATGTTGACAGCCTGCCGAGCCCGAGGCGAGCTCAGCACCGACGGTAATTTTGCTTGTGGGAGGGGTGGCGCGTGACTTCCTTCCCGATAGAATCGTTACCGTGTCGACGGGCACCGAATAAAGTCTCAGGGGCTTAACCAGATGAAATTAACATGAGCCTGGGAGGAGGGTTGCGGAGCACTAGGTGCAGCTCCCTCGTCCCCAGTGATGGCACTTTAGGTCTACTGATTGTATTCTGCCAAACGCTGACAGAGAGAGATGGGGGCATACTGCTCCCTGGGTACAGTTGAGCGGACTTGGCTCCAAGTCTCGTGTCATCTGCGGCACTGCCTGGCTCCGGAAGCTTACGTTTGTTTTCTAAAATAAATTGCTTTCAAACCTTTGCAAATTGATCCATGAAATCAGATTAAACAAATTGCAGATAGAAGGGTGAATTTGCCAAATGTCAGAGATTGACGCTAAGAACAAAACGTTAAGATTTATTTTCCATGTTTTTTTCTTTCTTTTTTTTTCCTTTTGCTATGTCGTGATTTCCTGTCTTGACCGTATCAGAAAGAAAGACCGACTGCTTAATTGAGAAAATAGGACAGCATTTCCAAGGGAATTGTCTTTGAAAGTACTGTTCCACTTGTTAGGAGAAACGATTAGATATAACCAGGTGTTCGTGGGTTTTGCCTACACTTTGTTTGGTGAAAACGTTGCCCTTTGAAAATAACTCCACGAAGGTGACTGGCGTTCGGGAGACATCTTTCATGAAGCTGAATTTGGAGTGTATTCTTAATTGAAAGACAGAAACGTTTGGTCAAAATCTGGATTTTTATAATAATAAGTAATTATGGAGTCATTTTGGAACTGAGGCCAAAGAAGTAGTGGGTTGGGTTGTAGAAGATTCTATGGGTAGAGAAAGTTTTTTGTCACACTCTGTATAGCCATATCTTACTTGATATAGCACTGTAGTTGTTTTTGTAAGGAGAACACGTCAAGCTCGAGCCGTGTTTGGATCTTTTGAGTGTAAGTGTGCTGTTAATATTCCTCTGATGAGGTTACGGATGAATTTTTCTAGCACTTTCTTTTGTTGCTTTACTGACAACCGAAACTGAACGTGAGGACTATTTGTAAATAGCGTTTTATACCCAGGCGAAATGTACGGGCCGAGAATCGTGTGCCGTGTGTGTACGTTATCAAGGCGTGTATTCATGTAAATAATCGAACATGAAAACAAAATTAAAACTAAAAGAGGATTTTTGATTGTTCCAATCTACGCGAATATCAAGTTTGGGAAACATGGCTGTAAGCCCACTGTAATGTTTACTGAAAAGGCCCAGGGTGTGTTAAGCTTCTCGGATTGCTGTTTGGTGTTGGTGACGGGTTTGATCTAAGAAAAAACGACACGCAGAGCAATCATTCTGACGGATTACTTCGCACCGCAAATCCCTATTTGCTCAGGTAAAGGCGATAGCTTGTTATGTGACCTAATTCCCGTGGGCTTGTCTAGAAGCTCCGGAGAGCTGAAAGTTCGAATATGAGTCTGGATGCGGCTTTCCTTGGCAAGTCTTGAGAACCCAGCCGGGTTTGTGACTGTTGGCCGCCCGAGATATCTCCATTTTCACTGAGAGGCCTTTGGGAAATCAGCACTGGCAGAGTGGTCTCCCCAGTGAATAATGCATGTTGCTATTAGATTAAAAGTCAATTTTCGGCCACACCAACAAGTTGACGGGAGCAGGACTGGAGTCAGTGAGCTAGTTAATATTCTGTACACTTGTACTTTGTTTTATCCGTTGCTGTTCCAGATTCAAAGATATCCCGCCCAAATAAAACCAGAAGCCTTATTATAAGAGAGTCATTGATTTTTGTGAGTCGATTTACTTTGAAGAAGTAACTCGAGTCGAGTCATTCGGTCTAGAAGGCTGAGTCGAGCAAACTTGGCTCATTTTCAAGTGAAGCAAGGGGGACTATTCCACCCCCCCGTGATTTTTGTTGGTTTTGAAATGTGAACAAAGGAACATTTGGAGATTATTTATCGATTTTCCTTAAGTTCTTCAAGCTTGTAAAATGCCCAGAATTTAGCCTCACGGATAAGAAAGACCACAAAGGTACACGTAAACAATTTGTCCCCCCCAAAACAAGTGCCCGCTCGATAATTTGGTTCTTAATTTGCCCATGGTCGCTTGGAGTAACTGATGATGTTTTCGAACACCATCTAAAAATGAACGGGAGATAAAGGATGTGT